CAGATCTTCCCGTTGTGTGTGCAGGGGCTCCAGTTGCCCCAGGGGCCCAGCTCACACTCCTCTGTGGGGCAAAGGGAGAGACAGACGGATTGACGGATTGACGAGGTCAGCTAGCAGAGTGTCCTGCAGACCCAAGGGTGGAGTCTGAGGGGTTCAATTCCCTGAAGACACATCTTCACCTGCAAGGAACTCCGAGTCTCTTACAAGGGGCAGAGGAGAGACATTTCATTAGCTGTTTCTAACAGCCTGGGATGGAAGCACTAAGAAAGTGGACACAGGTTGCTACTACAGGAGGCCAGAAGCCAGAGTGATTGTCTGGCTTTGAGGGGGAAGGCTTCCTAGAGGAGGTGACATTTGAGCCCACAAGAGAGAGAGGAGTTCATTGATGGAAGGAAATACATTCTAGACATGGGTGCAAAGCCCTGGGCCTAGTAGACCATGTTTGAGGGTCAGGGAGGCTAGAGGGGTAACAGGGGAAGGATCTGGAGGACAGCGGCAGTAGGGGTGCTGGGAGGTCGGCAGGAGAGGCTCTCCAGGTCAGGACAAGAGGGTTGAACTTTATGACATTTCTCTGATGGATCTACACAGTGCCTTGGTGAAGAAAAATGAGGTTATGGATATGAAAAAGCTCTTCGTTGTTGTTGTTGTTATGTGCCTTCGAGTCAGCCCTGACTCATAGCGACCCTTCCTTGGGTTTCCGAGGCAGTATCACTACGGAAGTAGGATTGCCCAACCTTCCTTCGGAGGATTGGCTGATGGGTTTGAACTGCCAGCCATCTGGTGAGCAGTCAAGTGCCTTAGCCACTATGCTACCAGAGCTCCCAAGCTACTTAAAAAAAATTATCTATATCTATCTATCTGTCTATCTACTTATCTATATAGGGATATATTTCTTTTTAAATTGTGCTTTGGGTGCAAATGTACACAGCAGATTTGCTTTACATTCAACAGTTCATGCACATTTTATTTCAGTCCTGATTACCATCCATAACCATAAAAACTCTCCTCCCCTCCCCTCCCTCTGATTACCCCTTCCCTGTGTCCTTCTTCTCTATGCATTCCTGTCTGTCCAGCTTTCCCTCTGTGTGAATGCTGCCCCTCTGATGTCTCATGGCTGGTTGTTCTAAGGGGGGCATCTCCCTAGGGTAGGTGGGTGCCTCTCCCTGGGGTAGGTGTTACACATGCAGGTCTTTCTACCTTTGGGCTGAGAGCCAATCCATGGAAGCGAGTCCATTTCACATTTGATTCCTTTAAGAGTCCTGAGAGACAGGCCTGGTGGTGTAGTACCTAAGACATTAGACTGCTAACCAGAAGGCTGGTGGTTCAAACCTACCAGCCATTCCTTGGAAGACTGGGCAATCTACTTCCATAGAGATACCGCCTTGGAAACCCAAGGAGGGGTCACTGTGGGTTGAACTAACTCAATGGCAGTGAGTTTGGTTTTGGTTTGGAGAGATAGGCCGAGACTAGGGGTAGCTTTTATACCTCCATTTGTAGATTAAGACACGACACTGAGGCCTAGAGAAGGCAAGGGGCTTACAGAACACAGCAAGTTCAAGATCCAGTGGGGCTCAGAGAAAGGTCTGCAGACCCAGCACAATGGTCCTCTGCTAGATGCATTCATTGGACAAGAATCGGGGAGCAGCTACTATGTGCCAGGCCCAGTGCTGGGTGCTGAGGAGCAGCACAAGACAGACCTGTGCCGGCCTCCAGCATTTCCACCAGAGAAGACAGGCAAGGAGAGCCGGGTGCTCGGTGCGGTCCTGCGGGAGCACAGGAGGCTGTGGGAGCCCAGAGGGGCCAGAGGCCAGCCTGGGGAACTGGGAGGGCTTCCTGGAGGTGGAGACTCCTGAGTTGAGTCTTTAAGCTGGGTGGGGGTGGGGTAGAGGCTGGTGGGGCACAGGGGGTGGCAGGAGGGAGAAGTGCTCCAGGTGGAATAAGCTCAGCAAAGCCCTGGGATGACTTTGCCCTTGACATAGGCCTGGAGCCTGGGAAGCTGGAGCACTGGCTCGAATGACCAAAAACCCAATCAAACCCACTGCCACTGAGCGGATTCTGATGCAGAACCACCCCCATTGGGTTTCTGAGGGGGTAAATCTTTATGGAAGTAGATTGCCCTGTCTTCCTTCCGTGGAGTGGCTGGTGGGTTTGAACCACGAACCTTCTGGTTAACAGTCAAATGCCTTAGGCACTGTTCCACCAGAGCTCAAGTGACAGCAGAGCAAAATGGCAGGGGTGGACAGGCCAGCAGATGGTGATCAGCTGGCACAGGCCCTGGGAGGGCTCTACCCGAGGGCAGTGGGGGCCACGGAAAGGCCATGATCAGGTTGCTATTTTGAACCAACCACTCTGGCTGTGCAGTGGAGTGTGGGGCTGGAAGGAGTAAGACCTGAGACAGGGTGATGGGCAGAGGGCACCGAGAAGGCAGTGGTTGGGGGTGAGGCCGGGACAGGCACAGGCTGGGTTTGGGAGCTTTAGTCTGTTTTTTTCCCTCCAAAGTTCTTTCAGCCACCTGACACATTATGTACTTATTCTTGGGTCTCTCTTCTGCCTCTCCACCAAAATGTCACATCGGAAAGGGCAGGGATTTGGTGTGGTTTCTGTCACTGATAAGTCCCCAGCACCGAGGAGAGTGCCAGGCAGATAATGAGTGCTCAGTAAGTATTTTTTGAGTGAACAGATGAACGGGTTGGATAGGATATAGGGTGAGGGAGAGGGATGCATCAACGGTAGGACACAACACCCCATGAGTCATGGAGCTGGTGATTGACAGAAGGAATCGGGAAGAAGCTCCAGGATGGGGGTGGGGAGGGTGGGAAGGAGGTGTCCAGAGGGCAAGGTCTGCTGCTTGGGGAGGGATGTGGCTGAGACAGCAACAGGAATGTGAGTCCAGAGGTCACGTGTGAGCAGAGAAGTCATGGTTTGGGCAAGAATGATGGGGCATGACCTCCTGTAAGGGACAGACCATGGAAGAGGAGCTCAGAGAAGAAAGAAGAAGAATGGCCAGAAAATCACTGCAGCTGTCATAATGACAGCTAACGTTTATTGAAGGAGTTCTGGTGGCACAGCACCTAAGGCATTTGACTGTTAACCAGAAGGTTGGCAGTTCAAACCCACCAGCCACTTCCTGGAAGGAAGATGGGGCAATCTACTTCTATAAAGATTTACTGCCTTGGAAACCCAATGGGGGTCGCTATGAGTTGGAATTGATTCCGTGGCAGTGAGTCTGAGTTTGGAGTGTTTATTGAGTGCTTAGTATGTGATAGTTACTCTAGTAAGTACCTGACATTGTACTATGTAATTTAATTCTCATACCAACCCCCCATGGGGTAGGCTCTATCATAACTGAGTCAGTGGAGGAACTGAAGGCAGAGAGTTTAAGTGACTAACTCAAGGTCACTAATGGATAAATCTTACACTTGCGATTCAAACCCAGGTCTGTTGTATTCCTAAAGCAGTGCTCTTCTTCTGTACCCTGCCGTCTCCCTTAGTAACAATACCGATGCTAGTGTTGGCAGTAGTCATAACAGTGATAGCGTTTATGATGGTTCCAGTACACCGAAGACTTACTATGTGCCGGTACCTGACATGGTATTATGGAGTCTCCCATCACACGTGACACTCTATTATGACTTCTTGTAGCTTTCCTGCACCAGGGAGGGGCTGGAAGGGGCAGAGCTGGGCAGGGCAAGGAGGCCCCTACTCACCCTGGCACTCCCGTGTGTTCTGATGGGCCACCGTGCCCAGTGGGCAGGTGGGCAGGCACTTCCCCTTGTGCAGGTAAAATCGCCTCTTGCAGCGGATGCAGAAGTCCTGGCTGAAGCAGTTCTCACACGTGGCTCCACATTCTGCAACAGAGCCAGGAACATCCTGGTGAGGGTGGCTTCTAGGGGCAGGGCTATATGGGGGCTGCCTGAGGTGGGAGGACCCTGAGTAGCCCCAGGCTCTGTAGTATGGGGTTGGAGCTCAGTGTCTCCTTTGAAGCCCAGAGTTGTCCAAAATCAAACTAGGCGGCCTATAAGGACTCTCTCATTTGAACTGAGACTCAGCAGGAGCAGGTGACATGTCCAAGGTAACATGGCTCTTTTAATTTAAAAGTCAGGATTCCCTTTCTTATTTGAGCTGAGGCTCAGACAGGGCAAGTGACTTGCCCAAAGATGCGTAGCAAATCTGAGTTTGGAGTGCAGATTCCCTCGCTCCATTTCAGTCAAGACTCAGAGATGGTAATGATTTATTCCAAGTCACAGAGAAAATTATTAAATGTTAGGATGGCTTTTCCCATTTGAGCTAGGATCAGAGAGGGTGGATGACTTGCTGAAGGTCACACAGCAAACTTCTATGGTAGAAATAAAGGTTTCCTGCCCCATTGACACTCTGAACCAGAGAGGACACCAACTTGCCCAGGGTTGCAGAGCCAGCCTGGAACCAACCAACTCAGAGTCTGGGCTCAGATTCACTTCCCCTATTGCTGTACTGGGGTGAGTTGGTGGGATGTGGGCCAGGAGCCCAGTGCTAGCATAGGACAGGGTGGAGCCACATACTTTTGCACCTGTTGACTTCCTGGCCGCGGACGCCGAAGTAACCAGGGGGGCAGTCATGTACGCACTTGCCGTACTGGCGGATGCCCTCACGGCGGATGAACAGGAAGAGTCTCTGCTGGCAGGTGGAGCAGCC